CTGCGGCCGGACGGAACCGCTGCGGCTCCCCACGGTGGGACCGGGATGGGATGACCCCACGGGCATCGGCTCCCGCGGACGGAACCCTGGCGGTGCTGGTACCCGCCTGCTCACAGCTCAGCCAGAAGTTGCCCGAGGCATATAGTCTACAGGACTGCCGGTACAATCTCCGGAGAACCGATGAAACGTAGACACTCGGCGTAACCGGGGGCGATCATGATATCGCCTCCGGGCTCCTGGAACTCTGCCTCGGGCAACAAGTTCAAATCTCACCCCTTACCGAATGCCCCGGAGCTACGGAGGAAGGCGGCAATATAAAAGTGGCCACAAGGTGGCGACTGACAATAGGGTAAAAGTCAAAGAGAGACGCATCTGAAGGGTGGGGACGTGGGCGAGAGAGCACCGCCGCCCCCCAAGACCCCCCCAACTTCATCTCGGAGAGACTCTTGTCTGGCTCCGAGCGGGTGGGAAGCGTCCAGCACGGCCCAAGGCGTCCACCGGGGACCTCCTGCCCCGCGCGGCGAGACCCTGGCCGCAGAAGGGGCATTTGGAAATATTTTTTTCAGGAAGCTGCGGGCAGGGGTACAGACTCCCCACGCGACTTCCCGGCGCCCTGCGAGAATGTAGAAACTCCCCAGACACGCGGACGCAGGCTCCTGCAGGACATATCTGCCCCGGGGCGTGGACCCTTGCAAGGCCTCAAGGGACTGCCATGGTCGAGGCGGATTTTAGTCTATAAATAAAACCGGGTGCTAACATGGAAAACGCACCCTAATCGTTTTTATTTTTTCTCCGCACGATTTCCTTTTTGTGCTTTGGTTTTAAGGACCTAACAGCCGGGCTCCTTGCCCGGAGACCAGCAGACCGAGCCGGATCACACTAGTCCCAGAGCCACACGGGTGCAGAAGCCAACAGATGAGCCACTAACCAGACAGGGGGCCCCGTGTGCGCAGACCCTGTCCTTGGGGACAGTGTTCAGAGGCGAGGGGTGCCCGGTGATTTGTGCTTGGCGGGGACCTAGATGTCACCCAATCAGACCTGCCAACTTTATGCCTTCTCTCCCCTCTCCCTTTCCTACCCTACCTGGCTGAGTTAAAAATTCTCTCTGGTCGATATGCCTGACGAGGGAGGGGCCTGTCCCCTGGCTGGACCCTGGGGGCACAGGCAGCTCAAACGGGGGATCCCAGGTCTCTGTGGAGTCCCTGAGACTCTATCAGTTTCCCTCTCACGACATTTGACAAAGGAAGGAAGCAGAGGTGGTTTGGGCCTGACCTCTCCTCCAGGCAAGTGTCTGAGCCCAAGACTCAGAGCTCCTCACCTGCTCCTGATGCTCAATCCCTCCTACCTGCAGCGGTTGCTTTAATGTCACTAAACATCTAGAAACAAAATGCACTTGGCCATGGCCTGTGTTATGCAAAGAGCCCAGAGCATCGGCTGTGAAACACGTGGGTTTGTAGCAGGACTTACGTTTGCACCGAAGTTTTCCTCTATGTCCCCTCCGGCCTGCAGGTGGGATGCACCTGGGGCTGCCTGCCGGTGCCACTGTTTTGCTGCAGCCCCGACTTCCCCACTGCAGGGTTCTATAGGAGACAAAACTAAGCCAAGCAGGGCCCGCAGGGGGAGGAGCTGTGCCCTGGGGGGAGGGGGTAAGAAAACAGATACTGCTGGTTGGGTACAATCCCCTCCTGTTGACCCATGTATACCTCAGCAGCTGGCTGCCAGGCCCAGCTGGGTCTTATGGACACAAGTGACCATAAAAGCATGTCCCCTTTGGGACTTCCCTCCCCTTTGCCCTGAGTCAGGTGTGGGGGACTGGGGTCCTACTTGGGGGCACACAAGCAAGGCAAACATTGTGTGCAGACAATCTTGCCACCCACGGTTCCTATGAGTGCCAACAGATGAAAAAGAGCGTTTTGAGAGCAGCAGAGAAAACATGGGCCCCCCCTCCCCCTGCAAACTTCTGCCCCGAGGGCCTCTGCCACTGTGATCCGGGCAGGTTTGCAAGGGGACAAGACGTCCCCACCGACATCTAGGACCTTATGCAGCCCGTTTACATTGGCTGATGCTGTTCTTGAAACAGGAATTTCAGGGGTGACATAGGGCAGGTTTAAGACATTTTAGAAATTAAGGGGACCATGGAGGAAGCACAGGGCTGCAGAGCAGCAGAAGGTATATTTCCACGGAATAGGGGAGCTGAAATGCTACAACAGGTGCATTTCCATAGAATGAGGGAGCCGGGACCAGCAAAAGGTCTATATTTACAAAATAAAGGGGAGGAAGCCTTTCACCCAGAAGGAGAAGAAGAAAGCCCGGGGGGGAATAGGGAGACAATAAGGAAGGAGGGGGGAGGACCCCATGTGAGGTTCAACCTTTGAACCCAGGAGTTACTGTAGTAACCAGTCCAAGCGAATAGACACCGATCAGAGGGGATATCAAGGCACAAGGATCTGCAGTCTTTACAACGTGTACCGGTTAATAATGCAGCATTATTAACCGGTATGTGCAAAATCCGCATTATCAGCCAACCCAGGAGTTACTGTAGTAACCAGTCCAAGCGAATAGACACCGATCAGAGGGGATATCAAGGCACAAGGATCTGCAGCCTTTACAAGGTGTATTATTAACCGGTATGTGCACAATCCGCATTATCAGCCGGTACACCTATGTATAAGCCGCAGGGAAAAGGAACTACGTGGGACCCTTTCCCCCTCCCCACGTGGGAGTGGGTACTTGTTCTTCAATAAACCTCCACCTTTGCTATACCATCCTCTGTCCGTGGATTCATTCTTCGGCTCCGGCGGACAAAGAATCCGGGGTCCAGTCCAAATATTCCCTATCAGTCTGTTGGGGAAATTGACCCT